GTTGTTGGTGATGTTGGTGATGTTGTTGGGGATGTTGTTGTTGGTGATGTTGGTGATGTTGTTGGGGATGTTGTTGTTGGTGATGTTGGTGATGTTGTTGGGGATGTTGTTGTTGGTGATGTTGGTGATGTTGTTGGGGATGTTGTTGTTGGTGATGTTGGTGATGTTGTTGGGGATGTTGTTGTTGGTGATGTTGGTGATGTTGTTGGGGATGTTGTTGTTGGTGATGTTGGTGATGTTGTTGGGGATGTTGTTGTTGGTGATGTTGGTGATGTTGTTGGGGATGTTGTTGTTGGTGATGTTGGTGATGTTGTTGGGGATGTTGTTGTTGGTGATGTTGGTGATGTTGTTGGGGATGTTGTTGTTGGTGATGTTGGTGATGTTGTTGGGGATGTTGTTGTTGGTGATGTTGGTGATGTTGTTGGGGATGTTGTTGTTGGTGATGTTGGTGATGTTGTTGGGGATGTTGTTGTTGGTGATGTTGGTGATGTTGTTGGGGATGTTGTTGTTGGTGATGTTGGTGATGTTGTTGGGGATGTTGTTGTTGGTGATGTTGGTGATGTTGTTGGGGATGTTGTTGTTGGTGATGTTGGTGATGTTGTTGGGGATGTTGTTGTTGGTGATGTTGGTGATGTTGTTGGGGATGTTGTTGTTGGTGATGTTGGTGATGTTGTTGGGGATGTTGTTGTTGGTGATGTTGGTGATGTTGTTGGGGATGTTGTTGTTGGTGATGTTGGTGATGTTGTTGGGGATGTTGTTGTTGGTGATGTTGGTGATGTTGTTGGGGATGTTGTTGTTGGTGATGTTGGTGATGTTGTTGGGGATGTTGTTGTTGGTGATGTTGGTGATGTTGTTGGGGATGTTGTTGTTGGTGATGTTGGTGATGTTGTTGGGGATGTTGTTGTTGGTGATGTTGGTGATGTTGTTGGGGATGTTGTTGTTGGTGATGTTGTTGTTGTTGTTGTTGTTGTTGGTGGTGATGTTGTTGTTGGTGATGTTGTTGTTGTTGTTGGTGATGTTGTTGTTGTTGGTGATGTTGTTGTTGTTGTGCAGGGTGATCAGTTTCGAGGAGGGGAAAGCTCTGGCGGAGTCGTGGAACGCCGCCTTCCTCGAGTCTTCAGCCAAAGAAAACCAGGTGAGGTCAAACATGTCTGAACACACAGCAGGTGTGGACTGTCTGAGGCTGCAGCGGCGCCCCCTGCAGGCAGACAGAGTCCCTGCAGTGAGTTCTGTTGCTCTGAGTCTGTCAGACGCTCACTGACCGTCTCCTCCCCCTCCTCAGACGGCGGTGGAAGTGTTCAGGAGGATGATCCTGGAGGTGGAGAAGATGGAGGCGGGTCAGCCGCAGAGTCGGACACCCTGCTCCATGATGTAGCTTCCAACACCCCCCCCCTTCTCTCTGTCTCTGTCTCTGTTCTCTCTCTCAGTTCTCTCTCTCTCTCCCCTCTCTCTTCCTCCCCTCTCTCTCTCTCCCTCTCTCTGTTTCTCAGTCTGTCTCTCTGTCTCTCTCTTCTCTCTGTCTCTCAGTCTGTCTCTCTGTCTCTCTCTCTGTCTCTCTCTCATTTTCTCTCTCTATCTCCTCTCCTCTCTCCTCTCTCTGTCTCTCTGTCTCTCTCTCTGTCTCTCTGTCCAGTCTCTTCTCTCTCTCCCTCTCTCTCTCTTTCCCTCTCTCTCTTCTCCTTGTGGGTTTTGTTATGATGCTGTAAGTTTCGTCTGAGCTCAGTGAAGTCCTCTTCTGTCTTCAGGATGAGTACTCCATTCTCCCTTCAGAGTTACACCATCGAATGTCGAACGGTTACATCCTCATCCTACTCCGTCACATCCCTACAAAAGGTAAAACACATTTTCTGTCTCTGTCTTTCCTTTAATTTATTCCTCCACACCGGCCACAGTCAGAGCGGCCATTTTATGTTTAGGCTTCTGTATCCGTCAGTCTCATTCTCATAACTATCTCAGTAAACACCTTGCACGGAACTTCTTCAAATTTGGCACAAACATTCACTTGAATTCAAAAGGATGAACTGATTAGACTTTTGGTGGTCAAGGGTCAAAGGTCATAGCCATAACTCGAGATTTCCACAGCAGTTATGTACAAAAGTTTCCACACAAATGCGTTAATATTTTATGACTCTGGATAAAATGGCTGATTGTAGTTATTTTTATTTGCTCCTTTCTTCTTAATTTGCTTTTTGTCCTGACTTTATTTATTTTTCTTTGTTTTCCTTTATTTTTCTTCTCTCAGTTGCTATCTGTTCTCTCTCTCTCTCTCTCTTGAGTTTATCGATCCTGTCTTTTGTGGCTTCAAGATGGAAAATGGTTAACGAGCTCTTTGAAGGAGAACGCTCATTAAGCACTGTTTGCCGTGGTGATTGACTTTCTGTTTTACCGCCCTGACCATATATGGTGTTGTTTTTGTGCCTCTGTAGCTTTCGAGGTGGTCAGAGTGTATCCACGCAGAGCTGCTGGGACATGTGTGGGAAACGTTCAGTACGTACACACACTCTCCAACACACACACACACACCACACACTCTCACACCACACACACATACACCACACACACACACACACACACACACACACTTCTCACACACACACACACACCTCTCACACACACACTGCTCACCACACACACACTCTCACACACACACACACACCACACCACCACATACACACACACACACACACACCACACACACACACACACCTCGTCACACAACACACACACACACACACACATACACACATCACCTACACAATACAACACACTACACACACACACACACACACACATCTTCTCACACACACACACACACACACACACACTCTCACACACACACACACACCACACACACACACCACACACACACAACACTCTCACAACACACACACACTCTCTCACACACACACACACACACACCAACACACAACTAGGACTAATGCTGCAATTTTCATTCTATTCATTATTCATTTTCTTTCCGAATCCTCTAGTAGTGGTCGCGGAGCTGGAGCCTTATCCCAGCATCCTTTCGGCAGGGTGGCGGGGTACACCCTGCGATCAGGTCGCCAGTCCCATCGCAGGGCACACACACAGAGACAGACAAACCATTCACTCCACAGCCACACCTACGGTCAATTTTAGAGTTATCCAGTCAGCTAGTCCCCATTTGCATGTCTTTGGACTGTGGCAGCGAAGCCGCAGTACCCGGAGAGAACCCACACAGGCACCGGACGAAACAATGCAAAACAGAAAGATCCGCGTCCGAGCCGGGACTAGAACCGGAACCTTTCTTGCTGTGAGGCGACAGCCGCTAACCACTGCACCACCGTGCACTCTGCTGCATTCATGTCCTCTGTTATTGGTTGGAAAATATTTTCCATGTTCTCTCTCTGTCTCTCCTCTCTGTTCCCTCTCTCTCTGTCTCTCTCTCTGCCTGTCTCTCTCTTCGTGTCTCCCTCTCTCTCTGTCTCTCTCTCTGTTCGCTGTCCTCTCTCGTGTCTCCCTCCTCTCTGCTCCTCTCTCTCTGTCTCCTCTCTAATCGTCTCCCTCTCCTCTGTCGCTCTCTCTCTCTCTGTCTCTCTCTCTCTGTCTCTTTCTCCTCGTCTCTCCTACTCTGTCTCTCCTCTCTCGTCTCCTCTCTCTCCTCTGTCTCTCTCTCTCTCTCTCTACTGCTCTTCCTCTCTTCTGTCTTCCCTCCCTCTCTCCTGTCCTTCTCATGCCTCTCTCATCTCTGTCTCTCTCTCTCTTCTCGTCTCTCTCTCTGTCCCTTCTTCCTCTCTCACTCTCTGACTCTGTCTTACTCTCTACTGTCTCCCTCTTTCTCTCTGTCTCCCCTCTCTCTTTCCTGTCTCTCTCCTCTCCTGTCTATCTACTCTCTCTCTCTGTTCTTCTTCTCCCTCTCTCTCTGTCTCTCTCTCTCAGAGTAACCAATTTATTTTAGTTGGAAACAAGAAAGACTTACACAGAGAGGTGAGAGCCACACCACACCACACACACACACACACACCACACACCACAACACACACACACACACACCAACACAAGGCGTGCACTGCAGCAGGGTTATTTATATGATCGTCTTAGTTAATTGCTGACAATTTCAAATATCGTCTTGTGTCTAAATCCCATAGACACGTAACTAAACAACCGAAGATACTTCCTTGCAAGCGTGGCAATTCACAAATAAAGATGACAAAGAAAAAATCTGAAGGATCTATAATTCGCTTCTAGCTGTAGAACAGGTCCTGTTTAATTGAAGTTACAGCAACGCATTGGAAGATACATAAGAAATGTTGTGCTTTTGTTAGTTCTTGCCTAAACTGTAAAAGTAGTGAATCAAGACCGAAAGGTTCAAAACATGACGTCAGAGAACAATCCACGTGACTAACTTGAAACACAGGCCACCCCTCCCCTCCTGCCATGCATACCCGGTCCAGGGCTGAATCCACCTCACCATTCGATCTCCTACTGATCATTCAACACTTTCACACAACACCTAGGACCAACCTGTACTTACTCCTATTAGTTGTTGTTCTGTTGTTGTTGTTGGTTATGTTTGTGACCCTTGGTCTGATTTGTATGTTGTTGTCGTCCTTGGTTGTGTTGTGTTGGTGATGTTGTGTTGTGTGTTGCTTGTATGTTGTTGTTGTTGTTGGTGATGTTGGTGATGTTGTTTTGTTGTTGTGTGTGTTGTTGGTATGGTTGTTGGTGATGTTGTTGGTGATCGTTTGTTGTGTTTGGTGACTGTTTGGTATGTTGTTGGTGATTGTGTTTGTTGGTTGTTGATGTTTGGTGTTGTTGTTGTTGGTTGTGTTGTTGTGTGTGTTGTTTGTTGGTGATGTTGTTGGTGATTTCGGTTGTGATGTTGTTGCTTGTTTATTGTGATGTTGTTGTGATGTTGTTGTTGGTGATGTTGTTGGTGTGATGTTGTTGGTGATAGTTGTTGTTTGTTGTTTTTGGTGATGTTGTTTTGGTGATGTTTGTTGGTGATGTTTTGTTGTGTTGTTGTTGGTGTGTTGTGTGTTGGTGTTGGTGTGTTGTTGTTGGTGATGTTGGGTGTTGTTGTTGTTGGTGATGTTGTTGGTGATCGTTGTTGGTGATGTTGTTGTTTGGTGATGTTGGTGGTGTGTTGTTGTTGTTGTTGTTGTTGTTGTTGATGTTGTTGGTGTGTTTGGTGTTGTTGTTGTTGATGTTGTTGGTGTGTGTTGTTGTTGGTTGTTGTTTGGTTGATGTTGTTGTTGTTGATGTTGTTTGGTGATGATTGGGGTGATGTTGTTGGTTGTCGTGTGGTGTGATTGTGTCTGATGGCCTAATGTTGGTCTCCGTTGGTTGTGGTGGTGATGTTGAGTTGTGTTGTTGTTGTATTTGGTTGATGTTGTTAGTGTAGTATCGGTGCATTGCTCTCCGCTGATGTTAGATTGTGCTGGCTTGTCGATCGTTTCGGTGCGTGTGCTGTTTGTTGTGTTATGCGCGTCATGTCCCTCGATGTTTCTTGTTGGATTGTGTGGTTGATGTGATGTTGATTGTTGTAATGTTGTTCGACAAATGTTGTTGATGCATGTTGTTAGGTGAATGTTGTTTGTTGTGTGTGTTAGTGTTGTTGTTGGTGTGTTGTATGTTGTGTGATGATTGTTGTTGTTGATGTGTTTGTTGTTGTTGGTTGGTGGTTGAATGGTTGTTGTTTTGGTTGTTGTTGATTTGTTTGCTGTGTCGGTGATTGCTTGATTCGCGGTGATTGTTGTTGTTGTTGTGTGGTGATGTCTTTCGTGATTGTTTTGTTGGTGGATGTGTGTTGTTGGTGAATGTGTTGGTGATGTTGTTGTTGTTGCGTTGTTGTTGTTGGTGATGTTGTGTTGTGTTTGGTTTGTTGGTGTTGGTGATGCTTGTTTTGTTGTGTGGTTGGTTGTGTTGTTGTGGTGATGTTGTTGGTGATGTTGTTGTTGCGTGATGTTTGGTGGTGAGTGTTGTTGTTGTGTTGTTTGATGTTGTGTTGCTTTGGGGTGTTGTTGTGTTGTTGGTATGTGTTGTTGCGTATGTTGTTCTGATGTTTGGTAATGTTGGTGATGCTGGTTGTGCCGGGTGATGTTGGTGATTGTGTTCGTAATGTTGTTGTTGATCTCGTGTGGTCAGCATTCGTGATGTGCCCTTGTATTGTAGTTGCCTTGGTCGTGTGATGTTGTGGTGATGAATTGTCGTTTTTGTGTAATGTTGTCCTGTTGTTGGTGGTGATGTTGCGTGTTGTTGTTGTTGTTGCTTGATGTTTGTGTTGTTGTCTGTGTTGTTGTGATTGCTTGGCTGATGTTGATTGTTGGTGATGTTGTTGTTTGGTGGTGATGTTGTTGTGTTGTTGGTGTTGGATGTTGTTGTGCTTGTGTTAGCGTGTGATGTTGATCTGTTGTTGATTGTGACTTGGCCGGGTGTGGTGATGTTGTTTGGGTGATGGTTGTTGTTCGTGATGTTTGTTTTGGTGTGTTGTGTGGTTGTGTTGTTGTGTTGTTGTGTGTTGGTGATGTTGTGTTTGATTTGTTGGTGTTGTTGTTGTTGGTGATGTTTGTTGTTGTTATTGTCTGGTGATGTTGTTGTTGCTTTGTGTTGTGTGGTGAGTGTTGTTGGTGATGTTGTGTTGTTGTTGGTGATGTTGTTGCTTGTCTGCGTGATGTTGTTTGTTGTTTGTGCAGGCGTGATCAGTTTCGAGTGAGGTGGAAAACTCTGGCGGAGTACGTGGAACGCCGCCTTCATCGAGTCTTCAGCAAAAAACCAGGTGAGGTCAAAAACATGTCTGAACAACACATCCCAGGTGTGGACTGTCTGAGGCTGCAGCGGCGCCCCCTGCAGGCAGACAGAGTCCCTGCAGTTGAGCTTCGTTGCTCTGAGTTCTGTCGACGCCTCACTGACCGTCTCCTCCCCCTTCCTTCAGACGGCGGTGGAAGTGTTCAGGAGGATGATCCTGGAGGTGGAGAAGATGGAGGCGGGTCAGCCGCAGAGTCGGACACCCTGCTCCATGATGTAGCTTCCAACACCCCCCCCCCCCCCCCCCCCCCCCCCCCCCCCCCTCCCCACCCCCCCCCCCCCCCCCCCCCCCAACACCCCCAAACACCCCCATCACCGTCACTGCAGC